TAAATCTCGAAAATATATCGAACTCCATACAAAGAAAAACAGTCCAATACCATTATTGACCTCTCCATGCTTCCCAGTACCCTCCCAATACTGTGGCATGAGCCATTAATTTTTGGACTTTCTCATGGTAATTTTCTTCATGTCTGAGTCTTTAATATTTAACTTTGGTTCATTCGAGAGCATAATAGTTCTCCACTGAGTCGAATGCCAATTAGTATGAGCTCCGGTTCTTCTCAGAAATTAAAGAACTTTCTTGATAGTTTCCGGGCATGTAGGCCTGCTAACATAGCTCGTTAACGCTCTGTTCTTGAGTTTATATCCAACGATACCCGTCTCACAAACTCCGTTGAACTCTTAAATGAACATTTTTTACCGCTATGACAATTTGTTGAACATAGCAATAGCAGTGACATCTCTTCTATGGATCTTCCATAAATGGGAGATCTTATGGAGGCCATTTAAAATGGGAGATGTCTCCTATAAATCTGTTCGAAAAATATATTAAAGAACTTATATAAAAAATGTATTAAAGACCTTAGAATATTTTCGAAAATCGATTTCTGCGAATCTGTTATAGATTGGTCAATCATAAATACCAATAATGTATCCAATTGATCCTCTATGAAAAATACCTTCAGTAGATCATCATTGGATCCGACTATATGCCTTCTATATGCATCAACTTTAAGGTACTCTGTAGCCGGAAAACCTTTTAAAGGCCTCCTGTAAACAGAATGTCACATTACAGGCTTTTTCCGAATATAAGTCTTGATTAAATAATAATAATTTGAAGACCTTTTGGAGGTTATATATCTTATAGATCTCCTTACATATCTTATAGATCTATATGCCTTCTATTGTTAAAGTCCGTCCATTTTTATTTTCCGAATGTGGATCTTACAGGGTCATTTACAGCAGCTTTAAGGTACTCTGTAGTCGGAAAAACTTTTAACACTAGAACGCCGAAGGCAGTCATTTTGACCGCTTTCCAATTTCAAGTACAAAAGCAACTGTGCATTTAATGACACTTTTTTTAAAAATATGGTGACTTTTTGTACCTCACAGAATTACGTTTATTATAAAAAATTCACCAAATTTTAAAAAAAAGTGTCATTAAATGCACAGTTGCTGTTGTACTTGAAATTGGAAAGCGGTCAAAATGACCGCCTTCGGCGTTCTAGTGTTAAAGGACTTCTGTAAACAGAATGTCACATTACAGGCTTTTTCCAAATATAAGTCTTGATTAGATAATAATTGTTTGAGCACCATTTGGTGGATATATACAGTGGTGGCCACAGAATTAAAACATTTACTGTGGTAAACATTTTTTGATCAGCCCTCGATTCGTTTGAAGTATTTTTGAAAATTTTTTAATTCAGAACACTTCGATATACTGCACTTAAGAGATTTAGTGTGGAAATGGAAAATTATTTCATGCAATTTTTCCATAAATAACGGTTTTTATGAAAATACATCGACTTTGAAGTGGCCATATAATTAAAACATTGTGTAATTTTTTACTTTACTGCATTTTTTTTTTAATATTTTTTAAAAAAGCTCTTTAATTTAGTTAAATTATGTAAACTAAGCACCGATAAAATCATTTACTGATAAAAATTTTTGAAAAAAATCTGTAAAATCTATCAAAATTGCCAACAATTTGTACAGTACACCTAACATTCAGAAAATCACCTTTATTATAGAAAATAAAGGTCCGAATGCACCAGAAATTGCTAGAATTAGTAAAAAACAATAAATAATTCTCAAAATAAATAAATATTTGAAATAAAAACTCAAAAAATGGGAATTAACCTAAAGGAACGATTCAATTTCAATAGCCTTTACTGAAGAAGGCCGGAATATTTTTGCAGTATGTGAGAAAATATCGATTGATATTGGTATTTATTATATCAAATCGATTGTTCGAGTAGTACAGAATATATTTAATCAAAAAATTTATCAGTCACAACAGAACGAACAGAGATCAACACCTATGTTGACGAGAAAACGTTTCTGGTACACAGCAGCATGTTTGATGGTTAACTCTTGACCCTTCAAATCTATTGAACATGACAATATTTTTCCAAAATAATATTTTTTGGAGAGAATAATGCCCATTTAATCTATTTTAGCCTAAAAGAAAGAAAAATTTTACAATTTGACAAATATTTAAAGTCTTGTGTTGAGCATCAAAAATGCTGCTGTGTGGCGGAATCTTTTACTCGTCAACATAGGCATTGATCTCTGTTCTTTCTGTTGTGACTGGTATATTTTTTGATAAAATATATTCTGTACTACTCGAACAATCGATTTGATGTAATAAATGCCAATATCAATCGATATTTCCTCACATACTGCAAAAATATTCCGGCCTTCTTCAATAAAGGCTATTGAAATTGAATCGTTCCTTTAGGTTAATTCCCATTTTTTAAGTTTTTATTTCAAATATTTATTTATTTTGAGAATTATTTATTGTTTTTTACTAATTCTAGCAATTTCTGGTGCATTCGGACCTTTATTTTCTATAATAAAGGTGATTTTCTGAATGTTAGGTGTACTGTACAAATTGTTGGCAATTTTGATAGATTTTACAGATTTTTTTCAAAAATTTTTATCAGTAAATGATTTTATCGGTGCTTAGTTTACATAATTTAACTAAATTAAAGAGCTTTTTTAAAAAATATTAAAAAAAAATGCAGTAAAGTAAAAAATTACACAATGTTTTAATTATATGGCCACTTCAAAGTCGATGTATTTTCATAAAAACCGTTATTTATGGAAAAATTGCATGAAATAATTTTCCATTTCCACACTAAATCTCTTAAGTGCAGTATATCGAAGTGTTCTGAATTAAAAAATTTTCAAAAATACTTCAAACGAATCGAGGGCTGATCAAAAAATGTTTACCACAGTAAATGTTTTAATTCTGTGGCCACCACTGTATCTTATAGATCTCTTTACGTATTGAAAATTATTACTCAAGAATAATGTTGCCATCAGTATTTCCCCATCACTAAACTATTAACTAGTCTACAAAGTAACTTATTGTGTTGTTTTTTCAATAAAATATTATTGTTATTATTGTTACTAAAACAATTTTAATATTTCAAAATATTTGAACAAATGTGTTCCTTTTTTTCTGAATACTCTACAAAGTTGTTGTTTTTTATTTCTTAATACATTATCGCGGCACCTTTTCTTTGCGCCCATCTCTCCTCCAAATACCGAAATACATATTTCAGACATGTTTTTGCTGCTGTTGTTATTACTGTATGCGGGTCTATACATTAATATAAAATATTTGCGTTCTATAATAGATGCAAGCTAGCTAGATGACTGGCTGGTTGGCTGTGAGCAAGCAAAACCCCAAACAGCGCCAAAATAGCGCTGTATAGTCGTCGTGGCTGCTGTTGTCTATGTGCGTTTATTTATTTAGCGTTTTTTCGCTGTTTGCTTTTAAATTTAGCACAAAAATACTAACTGACTGAAGCGATACGATACGCGACGACTTATTCCCAATCTGTTTGTACACAGCACAAACACACGCTCTTGATACACATCTAAGGAGCAACATTAGCTAGCAAGTGCAGCTGCCCGCTAGGCAAAAAAAAAATGGAACCGAAATACCACCCCTCTTCCTTCATAGCCAGGCATTTGCCATGGAAAAGCATAGATGTACATAAGAATGTGTGTATATATTTTGGGCTAACTGAAAATGATGGAATCGATGCCAAAAAGTCATTATTATTAAGTATTTGGGAAATTTATATTTTTATTGACAAATTGGGAAATAGATTTTGGGGAACATTAAAATAAAAAAATATATATGGGACATTTTTTGACGGAACAAATACATTTGTGGCAATAACCTAAGGATCGGTTTCCGAACATTGCCTAAGAGAAATTATGGCTTCTAGAATTCGTATGGGAAGTTTGAACATACACTTGTGGCCAAAACTAAAGCAACTAAACTAGCAAGTTTAATAAATGCCGCATAACTTTTTCAAAAGTAAAGATATCATGTTGGTTTTTCGTACTGATCAACAAAATGTCATAGCAGTAAAAAATACCCCTTTAAGAGTTCAACGGAATTTGTGAGGCGGTTATCGTTGGATATGAACTCTAGAACAGAACGTTAACGAGCTTTCTGAAAAGAATCGTCTTTCGCAAAAGCTCACCCGACTCAGTGCATAAATATTATGCATAAATATTATGTGTTGAAAAAAATTACCGTGAGAAAGTCCAAAAATTAAAAGCTCATGCCAGAGTATTTGCAAGGGTACTAGGAAGCATTGAGGATGGTCAATACTGGTATTGGGCTGTTTTTTTTTTTTCTTTTTATGGAGTTCGATATATTTACGAGATTTATGAAGTAATGGAACGGATTGTTTATACAAATGTGTTGAAAAACGCTATGGTTCCCTTCCCCAACGAAAATATACCGCTTGTTTTGGTGTTTTAGCTTGACAATAACCTCCAAACATACACCGAAACATGTCAAAGATTGGTTGACGGAGTCAAAAATCAGGGTTTTTTTAATGGCCCACACAATCGTAAGATCTTTACCCTATAGAAAAATCTTTGGAGTATCATAGATAGCAAAATCAAAAGAGTTTCACAAACAGACATAACCTCATCCCAAGGGTTCAGGGTGCAAGTAATAGTACACCCAATGATCAAATTGAGTATTTTATTAATTCAATGCCTCGTAGATGTGCTGCCGTAATAAAAAATAAATTGTATGCCATCGATTACTAGCAAAATTTGCTTATTTATAAAAAAATCCAAAAGTTGCTTTAGTTTTGACCAAGCGAAAATTATGCCAATTTAATTTTCCATAGAATATATTTTATTTTAAAATAAATTTTGTGTTTATATTTTTTGTTTTTTAAAAATGAATAAATTGTAATAAATAGGTATACCTATTTATTTCTGAAAAAAATTTTGAAATTTTGTTGATTATTTTTTCTTATTAAATATTCCTATTCTAATTGCCAATTTTTTCTCCTTTTCAGATTTTACAAAATTTGGGTAAAGTTGATCGTACTGCAGATGAGATATTCGATGATCATTTGAATAATTTCAATCGCCAGCAACAAAATGCCAATAGATTACAAAAAGAATTCAATAACTACATTAGATGTATAAGAGGTAAGTAACGCGTCATGTTCTCCCACAACATCACGCACCTCTACATCCACATTTTGCCTCCTTATTTCTCTCCTACTCTTTCTTCCCTATATTCATAATCATATCTCTAGTTTCCGCACCCTATTTTATTTTATTTTCAATATTTCTCCTTTGAGTTGCCTTTTTGTCTCCTTTATCAAAATTTTCCATTTTCCTCCATATTTTTTTATTTTCCTTCTTAAACTTCTCCCGCTAACTTATTTCATTCTTTCTTATGTCTATATCTCCGATAATTTATTTATTTTTTCATCTATCCTATTTCTTAACTTATCCCATTCTTTCTTATTGCTATCTCTCCGATCATTTCTCCTTTTTATCTGTCCTATTTCTTAAATTTTCCTTTTTCCCGTCCATCCACCTCAATCCCATTCAATAGAAGAGAATAAAAGGATTCCATCTTATCATTACCTCCTGTCTTCAACTCATCCCACATTGCTCCCTACCCTCCGTACATTCTGTGTTTATCTTACTCTTCTGAATGTTCCCGTTACTTCTTAGTTTTGTTCCATCTCATTTCCCATTCTCTTCAATTTTAATTTATTTTTACTCTATTTTTGACCCCATCGTCCATCACGATTGTCGATTACATTGTCCCTATCTCAATCTTCTACCGTTGTTTCTTCCTTTGTTTGAGATTCGGTCCCCATCGTACTCTTTCTCCCTACAATTCATTTTTATCTACCTCTATTTTATACGAAATTTCCTTATTTCCGTGTCCACTACTATTTCTATTTTTGCCAAAATTTAGCCCTCCTTATTTAAATTTTCTATATGTCCGTCTTACCGTCTTACCTATTTCTCCCTCCACTTTCTTACTCTTCCTGTGTCTATTTATTCTCCTTCTTTTATTCGTCTTTACTTCCTCTGTAGTGTTTCTCTTCCCTTACTCCCTTTCGTTTCCCACGCTCGACTTCCTTCCCAAAATTTCCTCTCTTTCTATATCTCTTCCTTTTCTCATTTTATCTCCGATCCTTTTTTCTTTATCAATCAATTAATAGTCAACTTTGTTATCTTTATTTATTCCATTACTCTCCGTTTTTTTTTTTTCAATTTTTCATTTTCTTATATATCTCCTCCCTCTTTTATTTTCCTTTTCCCTGTCATTCTCTTCACATATTTCATACATTCATTTATCATATATCACACTCACTCCTTCATTTCCTTCTACCTCTTGTTTCGCCTTATCAGTCTCTCCACATATTTTCTTTTTTTCTAATTTTTCTCTTCCTCGAAGTCCACTCTTTCTTTCCTCTTTTTTTTCGTTTTTCCTTTGTTGTTCTTTCTTCCTCCATCTTTGCATGTTTTTTCCGCTATCTCCCTTTCTCTTTTCCCATTTCATTTATCATCTTCCTTCTTTCTATCCACTTCCGCATTTAAAATCTCAGGAATATCTAACCCCTCTGGGTCCTCATGTTTCCTTCCCAACTTTTTGACTTTTCCCAATTTTCTTCTTTCAAATTTTCTTACAAGTTTATCCATCTTTACCCACTGTTTCTTCCCAACATTCCACTCTTCACGTATTTGCTCTTTTGAAATCCATTAAATTCCCATCTTTCTTGATTCGGTTCATCTGCCCACTATATACCGATCGATATCGATTATAATTTTTTTTCTTTAATTTTTGTTACAGCTGCACAAATCGCATCCAAATCCTTGATGGATGCCATTTTCGAAATTTACGAACCCCAATGGAGCGGTTATGATGCTTTAAGTGCACAAGTCCAATCGGCCGAATCATTATGGCAGGATTTCTCACACAAATTGGCCGATCAAGTATTGATTCCATTGAATACCTATACAGGACAATTTCCAGAAATGAAGGTAGTCAGACAAGTTTTTTTTCTTTTCATAATTTTTCTAATTATTTTTCATCTTGTCCCTTAGAAAAAGGTCGAAAAACGCAACAGAAAACTTATCGATTACGATAGTCAACGTCACTCGTTCCAAAGTCTACAAGCCAATGCCAATAAACGTAAAGATGATGTTAAGCTGACCAAGGGCCGGGAACAATTGGAGGAAGCCAGACGCACATATGAACTATTGAACACCGAATTGCACGATGAACTACCGGCCTTGTATGAATCAAGAATATTGTTTTTGGTAACCAATTTGCAGACTCTATTCGCCACAGAACAAGTTTTCCACAATGAAACGGCTAAGGTAAAGGTCTCACGATTTTAAAATATATTTGTAAATCAATTAATAATAATTTATATTTTTATTGTTACAGATCTACTCCGAACTTGAGGCCATTGTTGACAAATTGGCTACAGAATCACAACGTGGTTCAAATACTTTGAGAAAAGTGACATGTAAGTCCCAATTGGTTTTTTAATATTTGTTCAATACAATTTAATTTGAATTAAATTTTTATATTTCTAGCCAATGCCATTAAAGCTTCCAGTCCTGTACAATCACCAGTCAAACAAATGAACGATGCCAACATCAGCAACAGCATTCAATATCAAAATACCAATGGTTCTACCAATCGTAAGTATTGCTTAAAAAAAAAACAATAACAAAATTTGTGTAAAACGAGGAAAAACAAAATTCCCCATTGTCCAAATTTAGTTGCTTAATTTGTAATTTTTTGCAAACAAAAAAAATTATTTTTGTAAGATTTTTGTTGTTTGTTATTTTTTAATTTGTTTTTGAGTTTGTTTTTTATTTTGAATTTTAATATTTTTAATTCGTTTATTAGACGTTGTTGTTTTTGGAAAAAAAGCTATTAACTCAATTTGTTTTGGTTGAAAATTTTTAGTTTATAATTTTAATTCCATTACATACTAGAGAATCTTTAAACAAATTAATGATTCTCAATTCTCAATTTATTTTTAGAAATTCCTTTTAATTTAACTGAAAAAAAATTTGATTTTGTTTTATTTTCTTTGCTTTTTCCCCCCACATTACTATTATTATTGTTTCTTTCTCTTTTTTTGTGTATTCTTGTTTTAAAATTGCCAAATAATAGTGAATTAATTTCAAAAATCATAAACTGCAATATACAACATACATTCGTTTCCATAACCTTTGCAATATAAATACGATATCTTTTGAAATGATTTTAAATTTATAATTTAAAGCTTCATTGGAACATATATATCAAATATAGCTTGCTAGTTAAAAATAAAAATAAATAATAATTTTAACCACATGTAAATTTCTTGCTTTCAAATTATTATTGTTTCTATTTTTGTATATATAATTGTTGCATATTTTTTTTTTTTTTTTTTTTTTTTTTTTTGCGTTTAAAGAAAATTTCAAAAATGTTACCCATATCCTCTTCATTCAACCCTACTGAAATGATACTTTGAAAAATTCCCTCTTGACCTTATCCTTTTATTGGTTTTATTTCTAGTGAGCTTATAGTCATCCTTTTTACAAAATTAGACTGGATCACCGACCATGTGGTATTCTATTCAACTGCCAGAGTAAAGTTCTCATAAAAGTGTAACGAACTTAAACCCAAGTCCAGGCAAAATTTCGCACCATTTGGCCATTCCTCTAATAACAAACTATTAAAAGAATCAGACCCATGAAAATATTTTAGTATCCGTATATTAGTATTCTTTGGACCAAATTCGTTTCAGCCAATTTGGAGTCATCTGTCTGCCTGCCTGGGTGGCTGATGCGGACGATTACTCTCAAAGGTAGTAACCAATTTCATCTAAACATTGCACATCGTATCAAGTTCGTAAATCGGGAATATCGGTCCACTCCTTTAGCACCTCCTACACAAAATTGTCAATATGAAAATTAATTTTGTAATATAACATGCGAACGGGCTATCCGATTTGATTTAACTTGGTACAACCTTTTATCTTTACCAAGCCTAGATCAAGTCCGAAGATGGGACCCATTGGTCCACTCCTTCTGATACATCCCCCACAAATGGTCAAAATTTTCCATATAGGATAATTGAATTTGCGATTTGAACCAAACTTTGTAGAACGTATTTTCTTTACCAATCCCAGATCAAATCCGAAGATAGGACCCATTGGTCCACTCCTTGTGGTACCTCCCACAAAAAGGGTCAATATTTCAAAAACTTGTAAATTTTATAATTGAATAACCGTTTTGATTAATATTAAATCCTAAACCTCTTTGACAAAAACATAACTCATTTAAAGCGAATAATAAAACCTTCGCAAACCATAGGCTTGAGGACATATATCTGTCGGCAACATCGACTGACCCTTTTTTTACTTGTTTTCCTAAGTTTAGATTCTGATAAATATCGGTCAACCTTTTGGTATAAGACCTTAAATATAACGGTGGACCAAATTGTCGGTACTTTGAGGACTTTGGATACATTTCCAACCGATTGACTTCAATTTTTATACCCTGTACCACGTGTGGTGTCACACTGTAGTATATACCCTGTGCATACATTAGTAACAGGCAAAAGGAAACGAGATAGGCACATGGTTCCATCCGTCTGTCTGTCCATGTTAAATTGTAAAGAAAGTACATATCGCATTTATGGTCCAAATTTTGTGAAATTTCACACAGCTCATTTCTTTGACCCTAGGACGAGCCCTATTGAAATTGAGAAAAAAACGGCTCAGAATTAGATATAGCTCCTATATATATATATATATTCACCCGATTTAAGGTAAATGGCCTTACATATCTTTCGTTTTTCACAAAATTTGTCATATCGTATTGAATTATGTCTAGAATTATGTGTAATAAGTTTGGTGAAAATCGGTTCAGTTTTATATATAGCTCCCATATATATTTTCATCCGATTTTATGTAAATAGTGCACCAAAGTCCCTAAATTTCTTTCGATCTGCACGAAATTTGGCATTGCGTACTGAATTGAGTCTAGAATTAGGTGTGCTAAGTTTCGTGAGCATCGGTTCAGATTTGGATTTCTTCCGATGTTATTTAAATTGTGCACTATATATATTTTCCGAACTGTTTGGGTAACAAGTTTATCTACCAAACGTTTTTCAATATTGAAGTAATTGTAGACCTCTATGTATACTCTACATAAGCCTTTTCGATTTTTAAATGCAATTAAACATTCTTATAAGCCATCTGAACCCAAGGTAAATGCCTCCTATGAAAATGGTGACGAAATCCCAAACCATCTATGAAAAAAATATTTTTGAAAATTTCTATTTATTATTTACAAACAAATTTTTATGATTTCTTTTATTTTGGCAATTTAAAATATACTCTAAAAAATTTAATTAGTATCAATAAGTGAAAGAAAAAAATCTAACCTCAATATTTAAAATACATTCCATAATCTAATATATTTTTTCACATCATTCGGCGGTGTGTTTGAAAATATTTATTTCATTTTGTAGAGAGTTATCCCAGTTGGTGTTTGTAGATTTGTTTGGGAATTAGACAAATTAAAAATCATAATTGGTTATATATTTATACTAACTAGCAGGTTGTAAAGGTATATAAAAAATCTATAATAGTAGAAAATAATAAAATAAAAATATTAATGCCATCAAACCTATAATTATCTTGGGTGGTCCATAAGTCGAATCGATATTTTAAGATATTTTAAGCATAAAAAGAATATAACGATGAATAAAAAAATCGAATTTTGAATCAAAATGATGATATAGGAAAAATCATTTTTTGAAAAGTGGGAGACTCGAAAATCGAGAAAGACCTATAGTTCCTTCACCAAAGTTGCTTAGAATTGTTCATAGAATCATCCTAGGGGTTGGAATTAATCGAATTTTTCGGCTCCATACAAATTGGCCAACCCTAGTGTACACACTGTTTCAATTGAATTTTCAATTAAAATATAGTTGAAAATATCATTATGAATTCTAATAATTATTTTTAACCCAATACTACATGCCAAGATCAGCAAAAATTAAATAAAATAATATAAAAAAGAAAACCAGTGGAAGGTTTTTAAGGGCTTCACTTGCACTTGTTGCGTTAAATTGTTTACCATTTTTCTATACTCAAGCGATTAAATTTGGCAGAGAATTGATTGGTATATTCATTTCCCCCCAAGTAATAAAGAGAATAGGCTTTCTCGTTGATCATCGTTTACTTGGTTTGTAAGATTTTTGATGTTTTCTATGATCAAACGTTCTCGCTTTTTTTGGTTATGGACATTTTTGCACTTTCTCGAGTTTTTTGATGCAGTCCTTTCAAGGGAAAGCAAGCTAGGCACTTGAAATGGGTAACACACATTCAAAGCTACAAACAACAACGAAAATACTATACAAAAATACTGTTTAAATATCCAAAAAAAACTTTGTATTTAATGGCTTCACACAAACGCCTAAAAGTATGCTTTAATTTTCGTACATTGTCATTACTGTTAGCAGAGCACCTTTGGCAATGAGGAACATCATCATAGAATAATTAAAACAAACAGTGAATGGAATGTATTTTATATAAAGAGGTTTATATATTTATCAAACTACCTACATAAATATTTATTTAAAAAAAAAATAGTATATATGCTTTGCAAAAATAAATACTATATTTTACTATTACTGCTTGCTGCTGCGCTGTGCATGACAACCAAAAACAAAATCAAATTTTTCTTTTAAATTAAAAGAACTTTTAAATTTTATAGTTTAGTATTTTTTAAATTTGAAAGTTGAAAAACCAAACAAAATAATAATTATGCATGAGCTGAGCTGAAAATGTTTTATTTTCTTTCTTTTTATATTCCCTACTTTTTTCCAACACTGCTGCAATATTACTTGACTTGATGGTTGTGTTAATGATGATGATGATGATAATAATAATCATAACAAACAAAATAATAATAATTATGATGTTTAATTTTATAATTTCGTTACTTTTTTTAATTTCGTTTTTTATGTAAATTTGTGTTGCATTTATTTTGTTTTCGTTTTTTTATTATTGGAATGTATTTAATTTTAATTTTTCTAATATCACTTGAAAAATAACACACAAATCAAAAACAAAACACATGTTTTTGTGCACAATTCTATTCAAATGCATCATTTCAAATTGAAAATCAAATCCCAAACACCATAAATATTATATGAACAAAAAATATATATACAATATTTCCAACAACAAATCAAAATAAAATACAAAAAAAACACACAAAACAAATCAAAAAATAGCACCATCACCAAGTACTTCTTCTACACAAGAACCCACCAGACCTGATAATGTTTCTCCAACACCAGAAACATCAGCCGCCGCCGCAGCTGCAGCAGCCGCCGCAATGCCACCTAGCTCACCCAGTGGTCCAAGTGCCGAGCAAAGAACAACGAGTATTGGCAATTTGGTAAGTGATGCCACCGCCGTGGATTCGAATACCAATACCCCACAACATTCAGTGAGTAATGCCAATGGCAATGCAATGCCTGAACTGGTGGCCAGAAGATCAACATCGACTAGTGAAGAAAAACCCGTAGCAGCCACTAGTGCCAACAATATGGAAAGCAGCACCAAAGATTTGGATAAGGATATGAATAATGCAACTAGCACAACGATAACCAAGACAGTTACAACTGAGGAGAAAATTACGAAAACCACCACCGATGGACAACAGCAACAGCTCAATGGTAATGAAAATGGCAATAACAATGTTGATGAGCATGAGGAGGCAGTTGCTGCCACTACCACAAATGGTAATGCTAACGATAGTGATTTAACAACTTCCCTGCCAGCCAGAGGAACCAAATCCAATAATGCCAATGCCAATAATATGCCTAATTCCAATGCAGCCGCCGCCGCAGCAGCAGCAGCCAGTGATGAAAAACAATCAGGAGGTAATAATCATTTGAATCATGACAATGATCTGAATAGAAATAGAAGTAGCAATTTAGTTGAACAGAGTAAAAATCCCTTTGAAGATGATGAAGATGAGCAAATCTACGAAATACCCAAGGGTGAGTACCTAACGTTCTTCTTCGTCCGTTTTACTCTGATGATGGTTGTGTCTGTCTGTCAATCTCTCTCTGTACGTTTTGTATCTCTCTGCCTGTTGTCTGTTTCTCTATATATATGGAAAACTATTGAAATACAAATCTGGGTTTCACAAATATTTAGCCTGTGGCTGTGTGATATGCCTAAATAATGTATCTCTCTGGGGTATTGTGATTGTGTTTTTTTTCTCATTTCTCACTCTCTATTATATATTGTCCTGGCCTGTAATATCCTATAAATATTTCTTTCTTTTGTTTCATTTATTTGTATGTATGTATATTCAAAATTTAAATTATGTATAAATACATGTGTGGTGTGTATGTTGAATGAAATCTGGAAGAGAACATATATTTCCTCTATCAAAGAATGGATCGGGGAACTTTAAGAGATACTTTTCTATATTTATGTAAGTGCATCTCCTGTTCTATTCTATAGAGCATCCTTTTTTAGCCTATAGACGTGTGAATCTTGTTCCATACTAATGAAGAATAATTCTTCTTCTATCCCATAGAAGTATAGCTCTTGGCATTTTTTATTGAAGACCTCGCCCTCTTCTATCATATTGAAGAGCTCGTCCTCTTCTATAATATAGAAGAGCTCGTCTTCTTCTAGGAGATCCTGTCCACTTTTATCATACAGTAGTGCAATTTTTGTTCTATACTATAGAAGAATAACTTCTCTTCTATCCCATAGAAGCGTAGCTCTTGTTCTTTCCTATGAAACGACCGCTGCTGTTCCAATGAAGAGCTCATCTTCTTGAGAGATTGTATTCTTCTATGTTGCACACCATCAGCTTCTCTTCTATGCATTCTTCAATACATACCCACACATGTGTTTTATATTAGTGTACAGTATGTGTTCTCT